GCCCCACGGAGGGGGCTCAGGATGGGGACCGGCGTGGGGACACGGCTGCAGCGGAGGCTCTGATTCCAGGAGAGACAGAGGCGAGCGGGGAGCCCATCAGGTTGGTACCCAGGGAGGGCACCTCGCAGTTCCCACAGCAGCTTGTCCTCTCTATTTTCTTGCACCCCTTTTTCCTTCTCACATCCCACCTGCAGGCCAAACGGGATCTCTGCTGGGGATGCCGAGCTGGCCGGGACTGCCACGGAGGGGGGACCCCCGCAAACGGTACCCGAGTCCTCCCGGGGGAAGACGGGCAGCCTGACGGAGCAGGACTGCAGCAGCCTGGACACCAGCGAGCAAGCGCTGCTGGAGGCCAGCCGCGCTGTCAGCCGGAGCGAGCCCGACCTCTCTTCCATCACCCCCAACACCGAGAAGGCCACGGAGAGCACGGCCATCATGATTGATGTTCCCGACTCCACTGTGGTACAGAGTGAGGGCCCGTCTCTCTTTCCTGAGCCCCTCTCCCAGCCCTCGGGGACCCTGCAGGGATGGAAAGCTTCTTGCATAGCTTTTCCCATTTTCATACTTCAACTTTGGGGGGGGCTTCCCTTGCTGCTTCTTGTAGCACCTCCCTCCTGAACCCCAGTTTTGCAGGGGAGCCTGAAGGAGAGCGCCCATGTGCCACTGTCCCCTGGGGAGCCTCTCCTCTTCTCGCCTCCTTCTCACCCGCTCCTTCCCTCTTCCTCCCTGCCTGGGCAAAACACTTGCATCCCATGTTTTTCCTAACACATCAGCAGCTTCCACTCAGCTCGCTGCTACTCAGACCCCTTAACAATGTCCTTGCTGACAAGGTGAGCTGCTTTAAACAGTTTTATTAATTAAACAGCACAGCAAAAGCTGTCTTTGTTAGAACCCCTTTCGTCTGTTTCAACCCAGCAGCTTTTGTCTTTTCTTCCCTTCTGGTCCCTCTCCCCATAACAGCACAGGGATGCAAAGCAGAAAACGGGGGAAATTGCATGTTCTTGGGTGGTAGGAACACCCCAGGGTGCTGTCTGGGTGCAAGGCCAGGCAAAGGCTCTCGCTTTCCTGCAGTTAGCAACAAGACAGACGGTGAAGCCAGCCCCTTAAAGGAGGCTGAGACCAAAGAGGATGAGGAGGAGATGGAGAAGAAGAAGCAGAAGAAGGAGAAAAGCGGGACGGGCAAAGCGATGGTGCCGCACAGCTCCATGTTCATCTTCAGCACCACCAACCCGTGAGACACTTTTTGGACCGTAGGAGCCTGGAGCTGGGGAGGGCTGCAAGGGGAAGGACCCTATGACATCCCTTAAAACAAGAGATCCCCTTGGGAAGGGGGTCGAATATCTCCTAAAGAGCCTGAATAACTAGCCATGGTGTTCCCCAAGCCCCAGGAGTTCTCTCTCTCTCTGTGGCAGCCACACTCACGGTTTTCTCTCCTGACTGCTGCTAGCTGTGATTTTTATTCAATGCTTGCGACATTTTTCTGCAGTTTTATGCTCCCCTGTAGCTCTTGCCTAGCTCCAGCAGCTGGAAGAATAACCCCAATTTCTCAGAGACTCTTCCTGGGTGCCTGGGGCAGCCAAGCAAAAAGGGATCAGCAAGCCCTTGGGCTCCCTTGTTTTGCTCCTCAGCCTTCTACCACCTTTCTGCCCTGAAAGCTGGCGGGGTGGGGTTGGTTTTGCCCACAGGGTGCGTGCCAGGGTCTCACAGGTCGGGCTGTCTCCCCGCAGGGTGCGGCGGGCTTGTCACTACATCGTGAACCTGCGCTACTTCGAGATGTGCATCCTCCTGGTGATCGCCGCCAGCAGCATCGCCCTCGCAGCGGAGGATCCTGTCCTCACCAACTCGGACCGCAACAAAGTGATTGCGAAACCTCCCCTGATTTCCCCTCATCCTGCAGGCAGAGGTCCTGTAGGCGTCTAGCTCTTCCGTGGTGGGACATGGAGCAGGGCAGCTGGTGGCAGCACTGGCACCACGTCTTGGGTCTTCTTCCCCATCACTTTCCTTTATAAACCCTGGAAATCCCTTTCAGCCTCCCACGCGTGGGGTTTAGAGCCTGGGGAGCTCTAAACTTGTTGACAGCAATGTAGCTTAAACTGGGGAGATGCTGATGTGCAGAGGGACTGGTACGGAGGAGCGTGATTCCAGCTTGCAGCGGAATTTCAGAGCTGCTTGCACAGTGCATGGGAAATGTGTCTCTCCTGCCCACGCAGGCTGGGTTTCTGGCTGTCCCGAGCTCTCTTAGGGGACGTGCTGGGAATGGGGAAAGCAAACCAACCTTCTATCTGCACCCAAGCCAGGCGAGTCCCAGTGTGGGGCGATAACGGGGTTGGGGTGGGCACCAGTGTGCCATTTTGCTTGGCCGCGGCTGCAGGGAGTGCCCGTGCCCTCTCTCTGCAGGTCCTGAGGTATTTCGACTACATCTTCACCGGCGTCTTCACCTTTGAGATGGTCATCAAGGTAAGAGGCTTTGCAGGCTGACTGTGCTGGAGCTGCTGTGGCCCGCAGCGTCCTTGCAGTGTGTGGGAAACAGCTCAGATTTCCAGTTCTGATCCTAAGTTTGGATGATGGAGGCTTTAAAAACTGGTTCTTAGCGCTGGGAGTTGAGAATGCTCAGCACCGCTTTTATCAGTCTCCGGGCTTCCGAAATATAATGCTCACTGATATATAGCTGAGGTGCAGGCGGCTCTCCAGAGATGTCCCTGTTCCCAGCACATCCCACCTGTGGCTGTTTCCACTTGATGGCCGAGCTGCTCATTCCCTTCCTGGTTTTCCTCACTGTTTCTCCCTTCCTCGCCCCACAGATGATCGATCAGGGCTTGATCCTGCAGGATGGCTCCTACTTCCGAGACCTCTGGAACATCCTGGATTTCATCGTGGTGGTGGGAGCGCTGGTGGCTTTCGCCTTGGCGTAAGTGGCCATTGTCCTTGTCAGCTCTTTATCTTCCCATGGCTGGGGTGGGGGAATGCAACTGTGCATTGTGGCTATTAGACCCTGGGGTTGGGTTTTTTTGATTTTCTTGCACCTTTCTGCTCTGCTTCTGGGTTGGCTCCTGGCAGCAGTGCGTGGCTGCTCCAGAGATGTGTTTCTCCTTGTTTGTCACATGCTGGTGAGCAAGCAGGCAGGAGGCAAGGCAAGGTAAGCTGGAGATGATAGGAAGAGGTTGGTGGATAAAGCAAACTTGAAAGATGGCAGAAGTGACTGTCAGAGAGGATAAAAGGCCTAAGGGTGGTAGAACTGGAGTTATACAGCTGCTACGCATCCCAGGGCTCACAGAGACAGCAAAAGCAGCAGCTTGCCAGGTGGAGCTGCCCTCTGAACGTGGTTGTGCTTGAAATGATACCCCAGCTCGATGGGTTTTCCTCTGCTCCAGGAGGGAGCATTGCCCTGGAGCCCTGCAGGGATGGGCATGGCAGCTGGTCGGGGTTTGTGCCTGCGTCCTCCACAGCATCACAGTGAGGTCAGGGCGCTGCGTGCTTGCTCGTGTCCTTGCCGTGCATTGTCTTGCAGCTGGGCTCTGCCACCCAGCTTGTGGCACTTGTGGGTCCTCCTCTGCAGGGTGGTTTGGTGTCTGTGGTGCCTATGGAGGGCAGGAGCATGCAGGGGTGAGTTTCATGCCACTCTGCCCTCCTCCATGCTGCTGGCTGGGGCAGGTGGTGCAGTGCTAGCACGGGAAGAAACGTGCTGTGGAAGAAATGTGCTGGTATCCAGCGAGTCGGGGCCAACATGATGCTCATGGGCAAGGGGCACCCCATGATCCCGGGAGCCATGGTGCTCCGTCAGTGCAAGAGGAGGAAGAGGCTTGCACATCTTTGTCACGCTGTTGTTCTTTCTTTGTGCCTTTGACTCTGGCAGTGGTGGCGTTAGGGGTGGGTCTGGCAGCCACGCAGACTGGAGCCTTGTCCTTGACCACAGCTCAGGTATCGTGCTCTTGGGGTAGCTGGGTCTGAGCCCTGAGGTCCTGCTTGATGGATTACAGCCCCTAATCCATTCCTCCCACCTCACCCTGGGCTGGGTGGCAGCTCCTTCCCCTTGCTCTCACCCACTTGGGCGCTCCCTGGCTCGTTGCTTTTGCCTTCCTCGCTCGGTGCTTTCAGCAGCTGCTCTCCCCTCAGGAAGAGGAGGGGAGAATTCAGATCACTCGCTGTGGGGATAAACCAGCCGCTGGGCAGAGCCTGACCACAGACCCCGGAATGGGGTGGGTCCACTGGTTTTTTTTGATGTTACTCTGAGCTCCTAGGAGTTGACCACAGGGATGGTTTGAGCATCTCTGAGGCTGGCTGATCCCCTCTCTGCCAGGGCAGTCACTCAAAGCATTTCTGCCCTTTTTGTCTCCCCTTTGGGGTTTGGTTTTCCCACAAGGGTCCTGGGTGCCTGTGGGCACAGCGGGAGGTCTCTGAGCCAGTCCAGCAGTGCCACCATCGTCCGCTGGCTGCCAGTACCACATTGGAAAATGTCCACCCATGAAGCCATTTCTTTGTGTGTCATCATGGCTTGTCCACTGCCCCCTCGGAGTCCGTACATCCCGAGCGAGAGGCTGTCTCAGCTTATCCGTGGCTCTGCACGTGGAAAGCTAATACGTCAATCCAAATGCAGCCTAAATAAAAAGCCCGATATAAAACCATGAATCTCCAAAGAGTTCAAATTAAATTAACTGAAATAGCCAGAACTATAACTAAAGGCTCTGCTTGCGGCTTTGCAGAGCTGCCGAGAAGTGGTGATACCTACGCCCACGGGCTTGCAGCAGCGGGAAAGGCTGAGTGGTGGAAAGGTTGAGTGGTCAGTGAGTAGCCATCGTCATCTTTACCTGGTGAGCGAGGGCAGGAGTTTCTCCATGCAGAGGTACCCAACAGAGCTGCCTCTTTAGTGAGGAGCATCTCCTTGTGCCTGTTGGCATTGGTGCCAGAGGGACCAATACGTTCTGTGAAACAACCTAGTGTTTCACTAAGGTGCAGTCAGAGTCTTGGGGGTTTTTCTATGGGTTTTACAAAATGTTTTATTTAGACGTTTGTAGGCTTTGCCCCGAGTGCTGAGCCCTCTGTGTGCACGTTGCAGGGACTTGCCTTAAGCAGGGGCAGAGCCTTGGTTACAATAGGGACCTTGTAGATCCCCTTGGCTTGTCTGAGCAGGTGTCCTGCTGGGTTGCAGGAGGTCCCATGCTGCAGCATAGGCTCGTAATCGGCGGATTTCTTGATGAAAGTGATTTAGCAGAGTTAACCTCTTTGCACAGAAACTGTTGTGGCCTTGCAAGTAGGTTCCTTCAGAGGCACCTGCTTCTCGCTGGTTGGGGACAAGCCTCAAGGTCCCTCCCCAACTCCTGGCTGAGGACCACGTGGCCACCTGCTGTCACTCAGTGTCCCACTTTCTGCGGGTTCCTCTTGCAGCAGAGGTTTTGCGACACACTCCTCCCAAAACCTCCAGCAGGGAGGGCAGGGGCTCCCAGCTCCCTGGAGAGAAGCCCCACACTGGAGGACACAGCATGATCTCCCCATCGTGCCTTTCATCCTAGGCGTGGGGAGGCAGAGAGCTGCCTGAGAGGCCATGGTCACCCCCATGCAGTTCCACTAACACTTTTCTTACCTTCTTCCTCTCTTCTCTCTTTTTCCCTCTCACCTTTGGTGCTGTTTGGTGGCTGCCGGGCTGGATCACCAACAGGAATGCTTTGGGGTAACTATGCGGTTGGTTTGCTGTGGGGTGCTGCCCTGGGTAGCGTGGGTGGATGGGGCAGGCGAGCGTCCATCTGTCTGTGTTGACCATTATCTGCGTTCCTGGGCTCTGGCTGAGGCTTTGCTTGCAGGGTCTTCAGTCCTGATGTCCTCTGAGGGCATGAGATGGGGTTTGTGCTGAGCTCAGAGGGCTGGGGAGAGCTCAGCCTTGGCTCTAGACACAACAAGGCTTTCCTCTGAGTATCATCCAGCCCTATATCCCATAATCATGTTGCATCCCAAGCAAATCCACAGGAGGTTTCCTGAGATCTGAAGTGGTCCCTCCTCAGCAGACGTATTCCACTGCAGTTGAGTTGTCCTTGGTGGCAGCTGGCACCACCTGAGTGCTGCCCTCAAATCCTCACCCCATCCCCAAGTCAGGTGCCCCAGCCACTTACCCAGGCCATGACACTGAGCAAAGCAGGAGATGGGAGGTGCTGAGTGGGTCCCAGGACTGTTTATGCATTTGTAGGGCTGTGCTCCTAGAAGGGACTATTAATTAATGGTCTTGTTTACATCTCATAATGATTAAGCCCATTATTGTGCTCCCTGTTGCATTAACTCTCACAACAGAGCCGTGTAATGTGAAGCATCTGTTGTAAGTCATTTTCTTGGCTTTTCTGAAGGTGCGCATTAGATACAACCTGTGCCGCCTTCACTATGACCTCTCTGCACCACCCTGGGACCCAATCCCTGGGATTTAGTTAAAAGACAAGAAACAAACCCCTGGTATTGCATTTGGGGTTAATCACCATACTCAAGAAATGAGGGTCACCAGGGATCTTAGTGCTGCTTTTGTAAATAATCTTAAAAGCAAGCTCAGTCTCCCTCAGCTGACTTGGGGTGAAGGCAAGCACGATACTGATCTAGAGAGGGCTGAGATGTTGTGAGATTGAAGACCAAGATCAAGTTGGGTAGCACTGATTGAATAAGGCAGAAAGTCTCCCACATTTTGTAA